ACAACATTGTTTGGACCAGCAGCATTTTCAGCTTCTGAAACACCTGAGATATTAGAACAACCTGTTAAATCCCTTAAAACTAAAAAATCTACTATTAGCTTGTAGAGATGTTTGTTATCAATAAATCAATCTGATATGTTAAGGGATGAGTGGAATAAAGAATTAGAAGTTTCTATATCGCCTAGACAATGGGAGACTGTGTTAACTTCTATACCAAGAGTATCAATGGACCTTAAATTATGACTTATACAACAAAAAATAATACTTAGAATTTATTGGACTCCACTAAGTCTGTACAGACCTAGTCCTTAGAAAAGGACTGTCAAAAACTGCATTTTGTTGGACATGTATTAAGGACAATGCCTCTTTAAAGCATATGTTTTTATGTCTTATACTTATTAGGTTTTGGGAGAAAGTACTGGACTATACAAATACAATTGTGTGACAAAAGCTAAAATTTTCAGAGGATAATATTCTTTTGAACTCTACACCCAGTACATGGAATTTGACATCTGGACAACGTAAATGGATTCTCTGTGCCCTTACTATGGCCGAAAGACTGATATTGCAACACTGGAAAGATAAATGTCTGGCCCCATTCACTCAGTGGACTGAAGACCTGATTGCACTTGCCGCTTATGAGCGGATTGCCTATAGACGTAGACTTTGTATGGACAAGTATAATGGAATATGGGACTCATTCATACAAAATATACTGGGTTAAAAAAAAAACCAGGATAGTCATATAACTCTATTAGAAATATATATGCACTTGAATAATGTTTGTATTAGATAAGCAAATAAAGAATTGGAACTATGTACTATTATAATGATGTATTCACTTTTGTTGTTGTATTTTTTCACTTTTATGTTAAAGCACTTTTATGTATTTTTTCCCTTTTTTTGTAATTAAAAAAATTAATATAAAAAAAAACAACTTCTGACATCAGGGATTTAACCAAAAAATCCAAAAATTACTTAGTGGCCGAAACCACCTTTTTAAAGTTAAAAGAGCTGGCCAGTTCAAACTGAGCTTTTGCATGGAAGTAATTAAGATCTGGATGCATGTCATAAACCCAATAGTAGTATTTGGCCTTCTTAGAATTCCCTGCAACTTACCAAATGCTCTAAGGAGCATTTTAAGCTATTTCAGAATACAAAGATTTGTTGCAAGAAAAAAGAGAAGCAGCGTGTACTTGTGTAGAAGTGAGTGTGTGCACGCATGGGTTGACTGCAGGGCCAATACATCTGAGGGACACCAGTTGGGGAAGGCCTAATCCCAGGTCTGGCCCTTGTTCAGAGATTCTTGGACATCAGTCTCCTTGCAACTCCAACGCATGCAGAAAGAACACCCTCTAATTCTTCATAACGTCTGCCAACAGAACTATCAACTAGTTTAGATGGATAATCAGGAAAGGAGATGAATGTAAATTGTTTTGGAAAACTGGGTAAGGTTGTCCAGAAAGCCCAAGTTCTTGGAAAGTTGAGTCCTGCGTTCTGCACGCCAATATGGACTTTTAAGAATAACAGCACTGCCTCAAATCTTGTTGTTTATGTTTCATTCTTCCTAGAAGCGGCAGCTAATTTTGGGGAGTGGGGGGCAGAGAGACAGCCGTAATCTCCCACTGAGATACCGCTGTGGTTCTCAACTGCAGAGATTCACAGCCACAGAGTCCTCTGGCCCAACTCACTGGACAGAAGCAACCGAGACAGACACGAAGCACAAAGGGAAGTAGAGTCATATGAATTACCTGGTGGTATCTTGCACACAGTAGCTGGGTGCCACCCATAGCGCTGGTTACAGTTGGGGGACTGGACAAATATGGCACTGTCGCTAAGGCACTCGGCAAAAACTTCTCCTCCAATGTAATACAGCCTCACTCCTCTCCCTAGAAAACAGGGCTCAGCGTCAAGACAGCAAAGAAGACAGAGCCCAACCTCTCTTTCACAGGCCAGAAGGACTCCCTGGGGTCTCCCATCCCTCTGGGGCAGAAAGAGGCACAGAACTCCTTTGCGCCCTTCTCCAAACAGCGACTTATGTGGTGCTCTGGAACCCATCCTGATAGCTGCCCTGTGGGTAGGCTGGGCTGAATTACCCTCTGGGTCACCAAGTTTCACGGGAGGAGGAATGGGCGTCTGGACAGAGTTTGCCCCACCTTGCATCCCAGGGATAGGCAGCTTGATGCCTCCCAGGAATCTGGGGCTTCCGTTCTCACCAAGGTGGCTAATGGAAAAGGTTGATGGGAGGGGTAGTCTCAAGCACCTGAAAGGTGCCTTCCCTGTGCTATAGCTACCACCACATGCAAGCTGTCTTAAGTCCTAAACTGCTTTCCAGTTGGCCAGCCCCCTTTTTGAAGTCTCCAGGAACAGGCGCTGATGGAAATTCCATTGTTTAAAAGATCCAAAACTGATGAAATCATTACAGCTGGAACAAAGTATGTTTTTCTGGATTCTCCAAAGCATGGCAGCTCTATTTAATTCCCACTGTTCATCAACTCCACAAAATAACTGCCCGCTGAAAAAAAATGCCTATCTGCTCTATGTTAACATAATTCAAAAAGAGCACCACGAACATATTCAACTTTTTCAAAATTGGTAGGAGCTTTGATAGACTGGCTTGCAAAGTTGTTGCTCTCTTCCAGTGGAAAAGAGTCAGGCCTTCAATTTTTTGTTGGTGAGAAAAAGCCAGCTGTAATAAACTGAGTTAAAGAGCATGCGTGTGGGAAGATCACAGAAACGTTGATGCTTTCCAAACATTAAGTTATTGTATAAACAATAAAGATAATACAGCCAGATGGACTTGTGTAATTAAATATACAGCATTATTAAGGCAGGGTTTCTCAACCTTGGCAACTTTAAGACGGGTGGACTTCAACTCCCAGAATTCC